AACTATTACGTCTCAACCAAGCACTGTATGGTTTTTATAATTTTAGTAGTGTGTCACACAAATAGCAAACATTCAAACAGTCAAAAAAAAGTAAAAAAAAGTTTCAGGTGGATGAAATATGGGAAAGCATGGAAATAAAACAATAGCCAACTGAAAATTGGGTATTAATGTATGTAGGCTCAAAGGGGGGAAAAAAACAAGAAAGCTAATATAAGTTACAAATAAAGATTTCTCAAAGACTCATATTGAACAAATTGTACATTAATCTTCAGTTTGGGATAATAAAGTCGTTTATTTCCTCAAGCAGCTTGCAAAATATCTCATCCTTTCACTGCTGTTTCTGTCTGTGTGCTGGGAACAGACAGGACAAACAGGACATGTCGGCCTTGTGATAAAAGATTATGACTGGAAGATGAGTTGAATTCAGTCTGAAGGGGTGTGCAGTTATAAGAAAATTCGTTACAAACTGCTGATGCACATAGGTGGATCAACAATAATGACATGAGGAGAGTTGTGACACAACTGGTCTTCCACAGCCCTTGAAGCACAGCTACTCCCTCTCTTGGCCAGCTCTCTGGAGACAAGGGTTTTTGAAACAATGCTGTGAAGTCACAAACTTCAAGATACTTCAACGAGGAAACAAGCAGAAGAGCCCTAATTTTCTGACATCAACAGCCTGCAGCAGGATCAGCGTGTCTTTCACTTTTTACCTTTAAAGAATGAACAGATTAGACAAAGCATGGGGGTGAAGCAGGTTAGATGCGATTGCTTGGCGTTCATTATAAAGGTGGGTGTGGCATAGACCACATTACTACCCAGCCTAATAGCGGACGGAACATGTGACGCTACGCTGTCTTACTACTACCAGCGTCGTTTGAATCCACGGTTAAAGCTCACTGCAGCTGCGAGACCCTCCAGCTCCACAGGTAAGCACCCAACCTAACTGCTTCAGCATACTGCGGTATTAGACACCACGGAGAAACTTTGTTATCCAGAAAGTAGCGGCTCCGCGTTTGTTTAATGTTCCTGCTCACGTTCCTCCTAAAGTTTAATTAGTTCATTAGTTAAAACGGACTTTTTTTTAGTCAACTCTGAGACAAGTCACAGCAACAAATCCTCTGATATTTTGTGCAATATGTGGACCTTTGTTTTGCGTCGTGTCCAGGACGGCAGGAAGCTGCTTTAACAGACTGACATGCAGCGCCACCCGATGGTGACAGTGTAATTGCAGCTGCATTTCCTCCCATCTTTCTTTCAGCTTTATTTCAAGGAGTTTTACAAAACTTCTGAATTTAGAATAATTTCGAGTTTTATACACAGTCACCCTCTCAATTTTTAGAGGCTCAAAAGTAACCGTACTAACTCAAATAAGGATTGTTTTTAATACTTGGATGAAACTCTTGTGTTTGATGTTTTTAACCCATGGGCATCATCAGGTGCTTTACTGCAGCCACCTTCAGTTACTTGGTTGAGATCAGTTGACTTGTGTGGAGTTATGTTATATTATATGTGATAGTATTAGCTTGCTGGGTTATATAGAGTAATAATATTATCTAGCTGCATTGTAGTATGTATTATCTTAGGGTCAGGCCTTTGTGCAAAGACAGCCTTCTGTGTGAAGCTGTAAGAGAAAAATAGTCAGAGAGAGAAAACAGCATTTACAGGAAATGGTGCAGAAAAAGCATCACTAACAGCTGTCTAACACATCTGGATAAGTATAGAGTGGAAAGCAGAACTAGGTAGCGAAGCTTAAGGTGCCTAAAGAGTTCATTTAAAAGCCACCTGCATAGGTAAGAAATGAGGGCACGTGCAGGGAAGCAGAAGTTGGGGAGGATAACCACGCAAGGAGGTGTTTTTATTGAAACTGCGCATGAATAATTTGGACAACAACACAGAGTACTAAGCATACAGGAAAAGCAGGTGTGAAAGGAGGAAATCTGGTAAGAAATACTATATCTGTAACAGACTGAGGGCGCACCCATCGG